CAGGGTACACTCAGTTGCTCATTGGCCTATCGTATTAGTATCAGGTTCTTTCTACTTGTTCGGGGGACCTTGTGCTCTTGCTGAAGCTTACATATGGCATGGCTCTCGATGCACTCGATGCCCAGGAGCCCTCCACTATGATTTAGGGCTCTTTCCCTTTGGTCTTATTTTCGGGGGACTCTTCACTCCTGTCAAGGCTCTTGCTGTTAACTTGCCCGGGCGCTCTTGATCGCACAGGGGTATTTCACCAATAGGACGCAAGAACCCCCAGACATTGATGATATCCCTCCCATGTTTTTCTTAAAGTTAAGACTTGTGAAAACACGCGAACGGGTAGACCCCCCCCCAAAAAAAAATGACCCCCCCAAAGGTTTTTTCCGGAATTGTTTCGGAGTGGCGCGGCTACGCCGCGCCAGATTTTGCATAGCCGTAGAGAACTGAACAGCGGATCGTCTAGTATCACAGGTTTAGATGCACCTTGTAAGGTCAGTATCCTGTGGTAGGTCAAAGTCAGGTCATGGTTTTATGGAAGGCAATTTCTGGTGAATTGTTCAACCTGATCAAACAACGAAGTGTTAAACGAAGCCACACATCTCTGATATACTTTCTTAGGATACACAACAATTTAATGAACAGATGATATCGACCTAGGGTCATGTATAAAAGTCAGACCAAGGTCAAAATCAACGGGTTTTATTACCCTAGGATTTACTGTATGGGGTAGTTTCTGGTGCTCATTTCAAATTAATTGATAACAGAAATCGTCGTATACACCACCCATGGGCTTCTTAAAGATCATAATAGGTCATTGACCCAAAATGACCCACGTCAATATGCTGTTTTTTAGGAGCATACTGCCTAGCGTAATCTCTGTCGCTCATTTGAATTTAAAACTCAAAGCAGTCTTGCCTGATTTTGGTCGCATGGCTTTCAAAAGGTCAAACAGATCACTGATCCCAAATGAGCATGTGACGTTTTTGCTTAGCACAGTTATCTAGGTTCTAGGAGCCCTTTGAAGACCAACCTCGAATTTGACCTTGTTTTACCTTATTTGATCCAGAGATCATGACCTAGGAACCTCAAACCTTGACCTAAGTGAGTTCTTGTACAGGTCAACTTACCCGGTGAATTTGGTGTTTCTAGCTCTCTAAGTTCCTGAGATCTCAGGGGGTCAAACTGCCCCCCCCCCCCTCGAGCGAAGGGCATGCAACGGGCCACCAGGGCGCGTGTTAATTTTGTAAACCCCGTAGTTTTTTTCGTGCAAACCGCTTGAAACACAGACTCACATAAGTGGCATGTATTGCCCCTCAGGCACTTAGGCTTCGAGATAGGATGCTTCGCATTAGACTTGTTTAGCCCCTCGTTCTTCCAAACTATGCGTACGCGCAGTTGGGATTTTCTCACGATATGTTTGATTTCCAAAAGCAAGTGCTCATCTATTTAAGGTAGCGCTAAGAATTTGTTAGTTGATAGGGCGTGTTCCCGTTTCCAACCACACATCCCCCTACGTGTTCTAGGTGTTTTGACCTCCTAACATTCAGCCTAAAGGTCGTGGAGAACATCCATGGCCCAACAACAAAGTCCATATGTTGTGTATGCTCCTCCTGTCTTTTTCGCAGCTTGATAAGCTGCTTGGAGCCCTATGGAGCATGTTCCGAATTACATTGTGCTTAGTGGAAGTCGGATGCGCAGATTTGCAGTGCAGAATTATACCAGGGTTTGTGGGCTTGATCACAGCTCCGTTCCCAACGTTGTGCGTTTGCTCCTCTTTTCTACCGGCACTAGTGTATCCAATGCGAACCCCTTTCTGTATGTTCCATTATAAAGGCTGAATTGGGTAAATAAATTGCCTTAACACCACCTGACGTAGATGAACACTTGCTTTAAAAAAATCAACATATATTTTACGAAATCAAAACTGCGCGTGTGCACAGCTAAAAAGAACGACAAGGAGCTAAAGAACGGTCTCGTTAAATATCTTATCCCGAAGCCCAAGTGCTCGAGGTGCGACAGGTGTCATATATACATGTCTGGGTTTTGGGGGTCTGCACGCAAATAAATGTGGTTTACGAAATTAAATGTAAATTGTGCGAAAAACATAGGAGGTACATGGTCTATGCTGGGAAGTCTATGCGCCCTTTCCGTTTCAGTTCCAATGAACACCAGTGAGATACTTAAAAATGAAACAGAATAAAAACGAACCCTTTCGGTGACCATCTTTTGACAGAGTACGTGCAGGCTAAAATCCAGGGAAGTACGGACCCTTTAACCCTTTTTGAGCCTCAAGTTAACTTCAAAGCGCGGGACCATCCAGACAAGAAAAATGGTGATTTTTTATGAGAAGTTGGTGACGGGACTTTCATGTACAGGACTCACGATGACCGATTACGTGAATGTGACTAGTGTCTTGATCTGCTATGCATACTAGCTTAAATCGCTTTCATGTATTAGTGTTGCCTGACGCTCGATACACGATGCCTGTTTAAATGAAATTGTTTGCATGTAAAAGTAATGTGCGATGTGAGATGCCTGTTTACTTGAAATCGCTTGCGGAAGTATATAATGTGTTTTGCGTGATACCTGTTAACTTGAATTTAGTTGCATGTGCATGTATTTTTCGCGCATCTTAATTTTCATTTAGATGTGCAATGAATCACAGGAATGACTGGCAATTGCTCCTTGTTCAATCCCTTGCATGTTGGTGATCTGTGAAAACCGTGGCTCACCGTTTTTGAAAAAAAAAACTGAAACGTCGAGTAGGATCGGCAAGCAACTTTGCATTTGCTTCCGATATTCTTTCGATAAAGGCATATAGCCGGAATATCACATTTAAGTCTCCATTTTCCTCTTTGTTCTTTGAGGAATAAAGCTATTATATCTGTTTTATTTACTGTTACTATTTTTTTGTTTACTAATACTGTTTTATCTAAATGCATAATGTCCTTCGTAAATGTACTTTACAGCTCGCCAAGTACTGGCATCATGTCGATAATGATGGCCGCATGCCTTGTACATAACAGTTTAAAAGTAATGCAAAGGTCCTGTCCGGTCACTAAAGTCAGTCTAGATCAGTCATGTCATAACGCCAAGTCAACTTCAATGACAACTGCTTTGGGAGCTCTAGCTAAATACCTATCCTGTACACAAACTGCGTGTCGAGTTGTTGTGTGGTCGTATATGCGACCCCTGCAACGGCAAGAGCATTCATTGCAATTGTCACAGGGCGGAACCACCAGCACCGCCTAGCATGCATAGGCTTGTGTTGCCGCAGGACTCGCCACGCGGCCGAGCTTCTCTGTTACCAGCGCGGTGTCACATGCCTGCCGCCGTCGGCAACTGCAAAGCCCGTGCGTGCCTACCCGCGAACAAGAAACAAACTGGAATTCAGATATTGGTCTGTGCCGGGGGGTTCAGTTGAAATCGCAGGCCACCACAGGGTTCGATACCTGCCAGTCATACACGCAAATTCAAAGAGCAAACAAAGGTGACGCAGATGACTTGTGGACTAGAACCTGTAACAATTTGGTGCTTGCGAGATGCCCTGCCATCTACGTAATCTTTTTCCTTTCTTTTCTCCCTCTTCTTTCCTTTCCACCCACTTCCCATAATCCTTGAGTTCCCCCCCCCCGCCGAATTCGCCGAATGAGCACCAGCCTCCCCGACCTCGTTCTGCTAGGGAAATAGGTATCAAGGGCTCAACGGACATGGAGCCGACTGTTCGGTGTTCGTGGTCTCTGACCGACTTAAACCCCCGCATTGTCTCATGGGTTTCTCAAATGGTACAAAAGGAGCTGTGGCTTTTATTTCAGGTCACGACCCTACGGGCCGAGATTCTATACGTGACCTACAGCTAGTGCTTTGAGCCCTGATGTCCTCAAGCCGGGCCTTTGATAGTCGGCTCCACTGGGCCGCCCCGTGGTGCTCTTCGGGCCTCATCTAGCACTGCCTTTGATCGGCTCGGAGCCTATTGCGAGCACAGGACCCTTTGTTAGGCGCTGTGGTCCCTTACAGATACGGGTGCCCTGACCAGTGCAGGACACTGATCCCGGCACTATACCTGATTGGTAGGTGAGTTCTCAGGCCCATCCCGACACGGAGACGACTATGCTATGCTGGTGATACCTGACCGACATATACATAGGCGGATCCTGGGGGGGGGGGGGACACGGGGCCATGTCACCCCTCAAAAACTCTGATATTATGTTTTGGCCTCCCACAAAATTCCCAGAACTTCATAAAAGTTTCGTCTGCTTACCGTCTGTTTTAACTTCGCACTGGACTGCACTATCCGAGGTCCAGCGGATCCCACACCAGTCAGCTGGCGACGAACGGTTGCCCCCCTCCCCCCAAAACAACTCCAGGCTAGATCCGCCCCTGGACATATATGCCCATATCGACTCAAGGGGTCCCCGATCGGCGCAGAGGGCCCTCTGACCGTTGGATGAGAGTCTGTCTTTGCAGGTCGGGGCCCCCGAATAAGACTCCGACCAGCTCATTTCCTCCGGCTTTGTCCCTGCTTCGGAAATGGGCCCTCAAGCCCGTGCTGCCAAAGAGCCGATTGTGCGTTACTGGTGGCGTCTGACCGACAGGTCCTTATCGACTCAGTGGTCCCCTAAACAGAGCACAGGGCCCTCTGGCTGACCTTGGAGTGGCCGGTCCTGCGGGCCGGGGCTTCTGAATGAGACCTCCGGCTGACCTTTCGGGCCCTTCGGGTCCTCAAGTCGGGCCCCTAATCGTAGGTTTCGAGGGACCCGTACAGTCCCTTGGAACCTAAGGGGGCACCCTGCCCCCACCCCTACCCGCGCTACTGGACACACGTATGCATTTAACATCCATTTAGGATAAGGTATGGCAAGGCAAGGTGTTCTGTGCGCCAATCCTGTGTATTCAGCGGTAGGGTTTGGGAGCGCAGGTAAAAAACTGCTCTACTTTGGTAGCACTTTCTTGCCTGTAGTGAAATTTTCATACGTGCCGAAATAAATGCGGCCTTCACAGCCGGGGAGCAAGGGTCAGTGGCGGCCGTTGGTGCTGCGGATATGTGATAGCGCACGGAGGGATTACGGTATAAACAGCATGATGTTCTTTAACAGTTTGCTTAAGCTAACGCATATTCCAGTTTTTGAGAGAATGTTGTGTGACTGAAACTTGTTCCTTGAAGCCTGAAGAGCGTGTACAGCTACCTCGAGACAGCCAACGTTGAGATGATTATTTCAGAACGTGAAATCTATTTGGAATGACATTTGTTTTATACTCCTGATGTTTTGTTCATCCTAGGAGAAATAATTCGAAAGATTTGTTTTGAGCTCTTTCCTTTGCATGCTTTCTTAAACTAAGTGCGTAAGTATCATTTTCTCTAATGCTTGCCTCATATGCTAACTTGCATTTTTCTGCAGCACTGGCAAGCAAAGGAATATTAAATTGCCCCCTATCGGTTGCTGTCACAGAACAAGAATGGCAATGGCAAGAAGGTTCACATCAAGTCTATTAAGTCAGCTATGTTCTACTTCATGTGCAAACAGGGTGATGCACAGTGGTGAGTGAACATTTTCAGTTCAAGGATGGCAGAAGGAAATGGCTGGTGGTTGATGAAGGCCTTTTTGCTGAAATCATGCATACCAGAACTGGAGACTGGTCCCTGGATGCTGTTAATTATGTGTTATGTCCCACTTGATAATGACAACCTTATGACCTATCATTTCATTGTTCAGCCCCAAAACCATCACTGTTCCCTCATCAGGATATCAGGTAGAACTATTTCATACAAGCTGGCTCCTGGCCATCAAATCAAGGCTAGCACCCACCATTTTCAGTGCAGCCTTCAGATAAAAAGCATCAGGAAAATATACTTATTATCATGAGGACAAGTCTTTATGACCCTCTTTTTGTGATGTGCAAGCAGTCCATATGAGATCTAAGCATGTTATCATGGCTCCGCACATTGATATTTCTTTGGAGTGTTATGTGAATAGATGGGTGCCATATGACAGCTGTAGTTTGTGTAGTTGGCATCCCATAAGGCTCAAGTCATCATTATTATCATGTTGCATAAATAGGTGTTAGCAATAGCAGATTGCTAGTATCTTTGCTTTCTGTTGGGTCTTTGGGTTGATATTGGAGTAATGCTGGATTGAGGTTAACTGACTCCTTCTTTACACCCTCCAACAGCCTACTGTTTTGCCATCACCAAACTAATGTTCACTTTTTTAAAGATGCAGCATCAGGGATGCGGCTGCCATCATCAAACGTGTGGATGAGAAGATCTGGATCGGATCTTCGCTCATGTGTTGCCTCACTGAAGACAAGTGCATCATATTCAGGCATCATAATAGACCAGGAAGTCCAACCAGATGACAACTCAAAATTAGCAGCAGAAAATGAAATTGTTTCAGGTGAGCCTGTGTCCAGAACCTAAATATTTCATGTCACGTGAATAAGTTACTCTGCTTGGCTTTTGCATTGCTTGTAGTCCTATTCTGCACTTGGTCAGCTGCATTCTATTCGTTGTGCTGTGGTGACAGCTGTGTGGATCCCTGAAGTGGGGATCAGATCATAGTTGCTCAGCTGGCTATGGTGTTTCCTTCCTGAAAGTACCAAGATACCATATGGGCAATGCCCCAAGCACATGTTTCATGGTAGATTTCATGGTAGCCTTTCAGCCACCACCTCTCCTTGAATAATATCTGACATTTCAGTTTGAACTAGTAGAGATGCTGCATCTCATTGTGCTATATTCAGTGGTGGTGACAGGGTTCCAGGGGCATGCCCAAACTGGTGGTGAGTGGTCTTTGAAATGGGTATCCAACTGCTGGCTGGGATATGGCTGCCTGTGGGCACCCCACTGCTGGCTTAGATAGGGCTGCCTGCTGGCACCCCACTGCTGGCTGGGGCAGGGCTGCATGCTGGCACCCCACTGCTGGCTGGGATAGGGCTGCCTGCTGGCACCCCACTGCTGGCTGGGACAGGGCTGCCTGCTAGCATCCCACTGCTGGCTGGGGTAGGGCTGCCTGCTGGCACCCCACTGCTGGCTGGGGTAGGGCTGCCTGCCAGCATCCCACTGCTGGCTGGGATAGGGTTGCCTGCTGGCACCCTGCTGCTGGCTGGGATAGGGCTGCCTGCTAGCAACCCACTGCTGGCTGGGGTAGGGCTGCCTGCTGGCACCCCACTGCTGGCTGGGATAGGGCTGCCTGCTGGCACCCCACTGCTGGCTGGGGTAGGGCTGCCTGCTAGCATCCCACTGCTGGCTGGGGTAGGGCTGCCTGCTAGCATCCCACTGCTGGCTGGGGTAGGGCTGCCATCTAGCATCCCACTGCTGGCTGGGGTAGGGCTGCCTGCTAGCATCCCACTGCTGGCTGGGGTAGGGCTGCCTGCTAGCATCCAATTGCTGGCTGGGATAGGGCCATCTGCTGGCATCCAATTGCTGGCTGGGATAGGGCTGCGTGTGGGCACCACAAGTGACCAGGTTGCATGACAGGGGTGGCTTATGGCTGAAACTGAGCATCTGCTCCAAGGCCACCCTCGACTACGCGACATTCTCCATCTTTATAGCTAGAGAGCTCCAGAAACATGTCTTGGTCACACACTGCTGTTGATTGTTGTCTAGCTGGCTGGTAACTCCACCCCAAGGATGACGTGCTGGCCTGGGGTGGCGACCTCGCAGAGCCGGCGCCATAAGCGCGTGACGGACGCGACCTAGACGCGCTGGCCCATTTCCAGATGCTGCGAGCGTGACCCGTGAGTCGGCGCATGGTGAGGCTTAGACTAGCCCAATATAGTTTAACCATGGTGTCTGCATCGCCCCGCGCACGGCGACAACCCGGCCCGCGCGTTGCCGCTGAATCTGCCAGTTTTTTAGTGCAGTACGCGTCTCTGTTTGGACGGTGGAGCCGTACCAGCGCCCTCTGCGCGTCCTCCAGCAGCGGCCGCTGTCGCTGCTCCGCCGCCCCAGATGGTGCTGTCAGAGGCAGGCAGCGTCTGCAGGGCGACTTGGTGTTCTCTGTCAGGTGGAGCTGCGCGGAGAGTCGATGTCCGGAGGCCCGGAATAAAGGTGACATGATCGTTCCAGTGGTCCCATGATGGTGTCGTTGAAATGATGACCAGAACCTTTTTTTCCTACCTTGTGATCCACACGTCGTTCATGGTGTGCCCGGCGGCTTTCCTCAGGCACGGCTCGTGCTCTCGAGTTGGTCGATTTCAAACTTGCTCGAGGCGCTCAGGTTTTCAAACTCGTTTAAGGATCTACAAGGCTATGTGATGGAACGGATCCTCTTTTGGGAGCATAATGATCCGGTTATATTCTAACGTCGTGAGTTTTGCGCTTTTACTGTCAGCACTGGAGTGTCAGTCTCTCTCGAGAGCAGTCTTTGCTGATCGTCTTTGTAAACCGAGTGCATCAAAGTAGCATTCGTGTTACTTCCTTTTTCGGCCTCCAGCATTGGTTCGTTGCTAAGTGGTATGAATGAGGGATACCGCATTACCGCAGCCGGGGACGGGCTGCTGCACCCAACGTGGGTATGTGCAGACCTTCCCTGCGGCAGCTAGATTTTAGGTTTGTCCCTAGTGGTGCGCGTGGAGCATTAACACCACTTTATCGCCTCGTCTGTGGCCTGCGAAATGGGCGCTGAAAGTCAGCTGCTCGTCTCTTCAGGTCTCAGGTGTGCGTGTAGATAACAACCACTTGCGCAGGTACTGGGTTCCACGTTCCACGTGTTGGTTGGCGGATTGATGCAGTGGAGTGTGGACTGCGGGCCTGGGACGCAGTCAAGAGGAGGTCGGCCTGTGGGGAATGGGCTACGTTATCTGCCCAGAGGAAGCAGCCACAGTTTCGCTAAGTCCCGAGTGAACTCGCTAATTTGGATTGCTGAAAGCAGCAGCGCCGTTACCGATTTTTTTTGGCAGCCCTTGTGTGATACCTGTTATACAGGATGTTTTCCACCACGTCCCTAGCGCCGCGGTCGTCGCTTAAGGCGTGTTTCATCCACTGAATGAAACGGATTTCAGATAGGATGTGTGTTGTGTGTGTGTGTGTGTGTGTGTGTGTGTGTGTGTGGTGTGTGTGTGGTGTGTGTGTGTGTGTGTGTGTGTGTGTTGTGTGGGTGTGTGTGTGTGTGTGTGTGTGTGTGTGTGTGTGTGTTGTGTGTGTGTGTTGTGTGTGTGTGTGTGGGTGTGTGTTGTGTGTGTGTGTGTGGTGTGTGTGTGTGTGGGTGTGGGTGTGGGTGTTGTGTGTGGGTGTGTGTGTGTGTGTGGTTGTGTGTGTGTGTGTTGTGTGTGGTGTGGTGTGTGTTGTGTGTGTGTGTGTGGGTGTCTCGTGTCTCTCTCTTCTCTCTTCGTGGTGCTTCGTCTTCTCTTTGCGTTTTTTAACTCTCTTTTTTGTTTTGTTTCTCTCTCTCTCTCTCCTCTCTTTGCGCCCGCTTCCGTTCTTTGCGTTTTTTAAACTGTCAATTATTGATATAACGAGGCCATTGACACCAAGAGGCGCGGGCCCAGCGCCAGCTACGATTGCAATTTGAGTTAAGGTCACCAGAAGGACAGGTTTTGAGATGTGATTCTCAGTTTAGGCCTATACAATAGTGCGTGTGCGAAAGTGACTGACGTTGCCAGTGTGGACCTATGATGTTAGGATGTAACTTGAGGTTGTATAAATCACCCTTGCGTTGCAATGACAATAAATTAGTAATGACGCAAGATGTTGCATAATGTAGCAAAATCACTGTGTATGTGCATTATAGGTGCAAGGTCCTTATGCACGGCATGGTTTCATTTTAGCACACTTTTCGCCTTGTCGCTTAGTTGTGGCACACTCTGATTAGGCCGTCTTACACTGGAACTGCTTATGTTTGATAACACCGAAATACGGTGAAGATTAAAGGCAGCTTAGAACTATGTGCGAACAAATGACCGAAGACATAACAAGTAACCACTCCTTTCACTGTCTTGAGGGGCGGGGGGGGGGGGGGGCGTGCTAGGTGCGCCATTGGAATAGGTCCGTTCCAACGCCCTCAGACGTATAAAGGGGGCGAGGCGAGACTGACAGACCGAGGCTGACGTGTCGGTCCGTGACTGCCGGCAGGTGTTGTGTCGCGTGTGAACGAGAGCATCAGCGAGGGAACGGCCGGTCGCCTGTTCGCCGTGGTGCACGTTGCCGGGAAGCAGTTCAAGGTGACGGACGGTGACCTGGTGGTGGTGCAGGGTCACTGGCCGCCCGTCACCGGCCAGCAGCTGCGGCTGCAGAAGGTGCGTGCTCCGGCTGGTGGCGTTCGTCGGTGTTGGCCCCGTCGGTCGGCCGGTGCCAAATGTCGACGATGCCGTGTTGTATTATATACATTTCATATATGATATATAAGATATCAACATATATATGTATATATATATATATATATATATATATATATATATATATATATATATATTATCATATCTGTATATCTCGATGGATGTGTTCTTTCTGAGCCCGGTTTTGACCACGTGTTGAAGCACTTTCCTCTTTATCGTTGTCGGTAAGTTTTTTGTGATGGACAGCTTTACGCTCAGATCATACTAAGCAAAGCCTCGTGTTTTGTAAACCTGCTTGCCAAAATGTGGTATTCCAGCTCCGCAGATGGGTTAGGCGCAGGCCTACCGAGCAGGACCGTCGGTGGATAGTTGGCGTGCCCTGGATACAGATCGGTATTCAGTATGACGCGGTTTCCGCGCGGCAGCTCCCAAGCTCCCAAGGTCTTACCCTTTCCGAGCCAGGCATCGGTTGGCTTCGGAAAAGCAAACCACATTGCATAAGAACATTGCATAAGAACCCTTTTGGTGCCCATTTGGTGTCAAATGATGACGTTTTCGGCGATGCTTAGTTAAGAGGGAAATTTCACAGGAAGCTCGCGGCCTCGAGGCGTTGAAGCCCAGAACGTGGTCAAGTTATTAGGCCTACGTTATTAGGTTGTTATAGCCTGCGGTTCCGTATTAAAACAACAAACCAACACACCTGCCTAGTTCCTATGTATGTCTTTCAGCTGTGGACGAGCCTTCTGGATCCTGGCTGCGTTGACATAGCATGACGCAATACATCGCCTTCCCAGGGGAGCCTAGGGAAGTCACGCGGTGCTGCTGCTCAGGTTCCGCGTCTGGTTCTGGCCGTAGGCCATTGACTGCCTGGCGTTGATGTGACGACAGGTGCTGATGGTGGGCAGTGCCGACTTCACTCTGCTGGGCCGCCCTGTCCTCGAGCCGGGCATGGCCAGCGTGGAGGCCACCGTCGTCGAAAAGTCGCTCTCCCACACCAAGACCATATTCCGCAAGGAGAAGCGACAAAACTACAAACGCATCAATTGTAAGACTCGCCTGCTCTGGCATTGTTTTTGTCACGTCTCATTTTAACTAGCCCAGCAAATCCGTAAACTGATGGCGCTCCGCACTGTTGTTGGCCTTCACCGCGACCGCAGCCACCGCAGCGAAATGTAATATTCTGCTAGCAGCTTTTATTGCTTTAATGCCGTTTTGCTCAACGTTTTCTTGCAATGCGTTTTCGCGCATGATGCATGGCTTAGGTAATTATTTATGTCCACATAACGTGTAGATGACTAATTCGCTTTGGGAAGATATGCTAGGGTAGGGTGATGGACGTTATTTCAGAATGGCCGAAAGGCATTGGGCGCACAAAAAAGCAGGTCTGAACATTTTTGGAGCGTCGAAAATGTACAGTGGAAGCTGTCTTTAGCCTCTTGGACATGTAGAACCGTGGAAGTGCTGCTATCATGATACTTTACTTCGGGTCACTACGCCATTGCGTCGTATCAGTCTGTCGTGGGTCTCGTTGCAACCAAAACCTGGCGCCATTATTCTAGTCTTAAGTGGGAAAGCCGCCAGAAGACAAATGCCTTCTGATCAAATTTGAGATGCCGCAACCCACTACGTCTGTAACTTAAACATATTTTTGGTGGGCCCATTTCCCTCGCGATCCAAACTAACAAACTGCAACGGCGCACCGCCCTTTGCGGGCGCACCACGACCTCTGGTTCATTTGAATAGTCATGCGTCTGTTCGAAATTCGGTTGCCAGTTAGAGACCAACATCAAAAATAGGTGGGTATGGGTACGTACAGATCCTTCCACGTCTACCTTGATCATGGTTGAGCCTGGTGACAACTGCTTGAACCAGCCGAGCGTGCGATGGTTGTAGCCCGTATACTGTGCCTGTATCAGCGGCGGTCACCGGGTGTGCTCCGTGTTGCAGTCTGCCGCGTGCCGCTGACGACGCTCCGGATCAACAGTGTCCGGCTGGAGAAGCCGATAGACTGCCAGACGTAGCTTCACCGGGTCGCGGAGTGGTGTATGGAATGTGGTGTAATTCAATAGACTGGCGTTGTAAGGGTGTGCCATGTTCCGACGGTCCTAATGGATATGTGCAGAAGTGGACGGCTCACCAGAGAAAAAGCGGGCTGCAGCCAGGTGCAGCTGATGAATGACGTCAGGTAAACCTATGCATCCTAAGACGAACCTAAGAAAACAAACAAATTTAGTTACACTTTATACACCTGCACAGAGCTGAGCACACGGATTGCCGAATAGATACAAACCCCACGGAAGAGCGCATCTACATGTCAGCGGGGAGGGCGAGACCAGTGAGCACGCGTCCAACCGGCATCGTAGAGCATGCAGCGCTTGGTTCAGACGAACCATGAGAACACAACCGCTCATGAGGCACAACCGCGCGGCGGGATGTCTCCGCAAAAGCGACGCGTCCGCCAGACACCCCAAACTGGCAATGCTGGGTCAGGTCGCGCGACCAGACGATCGTCCCTCTTTAGAAAATCAATCAGAGCGCTACAACTATCGCTTCCACCACACCCTGCAGCTGGTAACACCCTCCACGGAGTTTTTGCGGGGATGCTGTTTTACCTCTATGTGCTCGGACACTATACCGTATTCCACAAACTTGGAAATAAAATGTATTGGCTCTCAGCATCCTCCCGATGTCCTCGTCTTTCGGAAACTGAACTTCCACACCTCCGTTTCGGTACGTAAACACGATTTAGGGGTTGCCAAACTTTGACAGAGTCTGCTTAACTAGGAAGGGGTTGAGTTTTAACGGCAAAGACCTTCCCGAAAGACCTTGTTGACTTTCGATGATCGAGTGATCAGATAGTTTGGGAGACGTTCGTCGATCTGGCTGGCCCCCAAAGTGGGAGCGCCGCCAGGGCCGCCAGGCTCAACTCTGCGCCTGGCTGGCACGGCTCTCTGAGCCCGCCCTTCACAGGGTAGTGGCGAAGTGGTGGGCAGGTTATTTTGCTGCTCATCCATAAGTAGTGGCATACTATTTCACGCGCCTCTTCTCCGCCCATCACTGGGCCCAACAAGGTGACGGCGCGGCGGTGTCCGCTGTGCCGCCGGGGCTACGGACGCGTTATACGCGGGCCAGTCTGTCAATGGTGCCGCCGCGGAGCCGCCGGGTACGGGTCCGCGGGAGCCATTGCCCCGACTCAGAGGACTGACCAGGCACCTGCTCGTAATAAATCAGGGCACGACCCCACAGCTGAAACTCAGGCGGACATTGCACCCGGCGCCTCCCCCTTAACACCCGTCACCTGAACCGCTTGGCTCCTGGCCGGTGCCGTGCGAGGACGGCGCCTGGCAGGCCTGTTACCCGTATGCGGAGTCAGCACTGGACACCCACCTGAACCGCTTGGCTCCTGGCCGGTGCCGTGCGAGGACGGCGCCTGGCAGGCCTGTTACCCGTATGCGGAGCCAGCACTGGACACCTACCTGAACCGCTTGGCTCCTGGCCGGTGCCGTACGAGGACGGCGCCTGGCAGGCCTGTTACCCGTATGCGGAGTCAGCACTGGACACCCACCTGAACCGCTTGGCTCCTGGCCGGTGCCGTGCGAGGACGGCGCCTGGCAGGCCTGTTACCCGTATGCGGAGTCAGCACTGGACACCCACCTGAACCGCTTGGCTCCTGGCCGGTGCCGTGCGAGGACGGCGCCTGGCAGGCCTGTTACCCGTATACGGAGCCAGCACTGGGCACCCACCGGCTGTCAGATCCAGGCCGAAGGTAAATGTTGGAGGAGGCCAAGACTGGCCCGCAAGGCGGCCACCTCAGCACCCAGGACCCCTTCATTGCTCCTGGGTCACAACGAGGCACGGTAACTCTAATCAAACTGAAAGCTGAGGCCGAGGGTTACTCATTTCCATGCTGGCTGAAGTTAAGGTCCTTGCGGTAGGCATGTTCACCCTGTCTCCTCCCTTTTGGGCGGAAGGGGGTGTTTTATGAGTCTCCCTGACCTGCCGCGAGATCACTGGGGCACGCAGCCCCCCACCACGCAAAGGTGGCGCCTCACGGGGGGGGGGGGGGGGGAGCGCTGGCCGACGGGGGACAGGCGCGCGGCGGTAGCGCCACTGAATGATTCAGACCGGCACAGCGATTACAAGTACCCTGTACGGATCAGCACCCGCCGCGCCGCCGGTGAACAGCGACTTGCGTGAGTGTATATGTGTATATATATATATATATATATATATATATATATATATATATATATATATATATATATATATATAGTAGATATATATATATATATAGGTCTCTCTCTCTCTCTCTCTCTCTCTCTCTCTCTCTCTCTCTCTCTCTCTCTCTCTCTCTCTCTCTCTAGCCATCTTATTCCCCGGCATCTTTCTCCCGGCAATCTCTCTCATGCGATCTTATACTTAAAAACCCCGCATTTTTGGAGCACGACACGCCAGCATTGACACTCTTCTTGGCATACTTTGTTCCGACGCCCCTCCCGCCATGGTAAAAGGCAGGCAGCGCCATATTCCCCCCGCTGCTGAGCGCGTGGCGAAGCCCCATTGACACATTGTTTGTGGCGTGCGACTTGTTTTCTTATTGCTTTATTACATTACTGCTCTCATTTATATTGCCCGTATGATTATACTGTTCATGCCGTCTTTTGCGTTGTCATTTACCGTACGATCTTTCACGATGTAATAATACCAGACACGGGGCTTGCCGTGAGCAGACCCGTGGCGGCGGAACGTGTCCGGTCTGGTCATTGTCCCAACACAGGGACGACGCCACCCTAAGCAATCACAGCTGGTCAAACTCATGATAGAAGCAGCAAAAACAGTTTTGGGAAACTAGAGCGGAGTGCGTTTGCTACACTTCGTCCGGCGGTTGCTCTTGATTGTTCTCGTGGCCAGGAAGCTTACCATTTCAAAACGATGAAACCACTCGACATATATTTGTTCGCACGCCGCGGCCGGCGCGCAACAGAATGCAGCACAAAGACGTCGCAACAGATCACAAACGGATATTACGGATCGGTTAGGACAGACACGAATTGCGGTAAGATTAGCCCGCGCCAGTATCCAGCGGACTGAAAATCGAAAACAGTCGGTACTTGGTAGAACGAGACACACAGGTGCATGAAGAAGCATCAGACAGCACCTATGACATAAGCCCCATAACTGTATTGGTCCCAATAAAAAGCAACGCAAGCTAAAAAGGTACACTAACAAAGGTACATTAGCTCACTCACTCCGATGGGCACATCACTGAACTTACGCTTCCGTCAACAGTGTCCCACACATCAACATAAAAATGTCCATTTATGTGACTGTAAGCGCACGGACAGAAGTGAGGGTTTATGGTATGGTACCTTGTGTATGGAAGGAACATAACAATGTCCGGAATGCAATCCTCCGAGCGGTCAAAAGATTTCAGTACGTGCATAGTGAGCTCCCTGTATGCTCCATCAGCCCGAAACCCAACAGATGTCCGCCTTTTGCTGAGGCTAAAAATAAAGCATATCAACGGAATGCCCTACTAGCACAATTTCGGATTGCCTTGTTTTCTTACTATCACTCGTGGAATTATTCAACTAGATCGCTACCGTGGAATGGAACGCTTCACAGCACCCATGGGAACAGTATACGCTAGTCGTTCCTGTGGAATGAAACATTCTCCGAACTCACAAGTCCTCTGGCATCCTGAGAACACGCCTATTACTCAACGTCGGGCAAGCCCGGTGGTTGACAACCCAGTAAAGCTAGTCACCACTCGGCTCACCGTCTTAGCCTTTCAAACAGGCCACGTCTCGACTATGCCGATTACAAACTACATATTCACAGCACGACAGTCGCCTCCCTCTGTCTGAATAAAATGCACAGGCACGCACCGTACGTTTCACATATTGAACGACGCACAATACGTTTAGCTGAGACTCCCTTAAATGCTCCCAGGATCCACGCGGCTGTGCCAGGGCAAACTGATTTCGATGGACATTTCCCAAAAACTCGTTGCATGTGAATTTGCAAGTGAGGCAGCCTCAGAGCACAGTACAGCTATTGGCCAGATCCAAATGCCTCCAACGAACAAATGGCATGTATCTTGTGACCGACTTGCTCGCGACCGCTGGCTGGGCACTCAGCCACGAGTCCTGCCTGAACGCACCGAACACACCACCATCCAGCACCGGCAGACAGGGCACGGGCCAGCAAATCCGCGAGTCGGCGGCGGTGGCGAGGCCAACTCTCTGCCGGGCGTCGGCTGTCGAGCTGGCTGCGGAGGGTCGGCCGAGCCGGCCGCGGAGGGTCGGTCGAGCCGGCTGCGGAGGGTCGGCTGAGCCGGCTGTCGGGCGTCGGCCGAGCCGGCTGCGGAGGGTCGGCCGAGCCGGCCGCGGAGGGTCGGCCAAGCCGGCTGCGGATGGTCGGCCGAGCCGGCTGCGGAGGGTCGGCCGAGCCGGCTGCGGAGGGTCCGGCCGAGCCGGCCCGCGGAGGGTCCGGTGCGCTGGCTGCGGGCGTCGCGATGCCGGCCTGCGGATGGTCGCCGAGCCTGGCTGCGGATGGTCGGGGGCCGAGCCGGCCGCGGAGGTCGGCTAGCCGGCCGCGGAGGGTCCTGCCGAGCCTGCTGCTGTGAAATGGTTTTCGGCCGAGCCGGCTGCGGAGGGTCGGCCGAGCCGGCCGCGGATGGTCGGCCGAGCCTGCTGCGGATGGTCGGCCGAGCCGGCTGCGGAGGGTCGGCCGAGCCGGCCGCGGATGGTCGGCCGAGCCGGCCGCGGAGGGTCGGCCGAGCCTGCTGCGGAGGGTCGGGTGAGCCGGCTGCCGGGCGTCGTCCCCTAGTTGCCGGTGTCCAGTGCTGTGTAGCGGATGTCCTCGCGGCGCCGGCTGCGGCAGAACAGCACGCCGGCCACCAGAAACGCCATCAAGATCAGCCCGAGCGCGATCGACTCACCAATGAGCGCCGCGGACGATGGCGCCGGGTGCGGCGCGCTCGCGCACTCTGCGGCCACGTCCGCCGGCCGTACCGGACGCGTCAGGTCGCGGAACGCCTCCCACGGGCACTGCATTGTGCAGCCGGGCAGCCGCAGCGAGTACGGCTCCACCGTCGTGTCGTTGCGGTAGAACACTTGGACGAAGAAGGCGCCGGTCGGGTCGCGGTGCAGCTCGACCATCACGCAGCTGGCCAGTGGCGGCGCCACGCCGTTGTAGACGCCGAGAGCCGCCAGCAGCGCCGCCACGTTGAAGTCGTGCGCCGAGTACATAAACAGCTGTCGGCCGGTCGGCTGCAGGGTGCCGGCCACGCGGTCGCGCATGTGCTCCACCATTTCGGCCAGAAGCGCGCCGCCGCCCAAACGACGCATCAGCTGTGTGTGGCTCATCAGCTGGAAACTGATGTCGCTGAGCGGCCGCATGAGCTCCGGGTAGACGGTCCGGTTATAGGGCGCCAGCCGGCGACGTGCCCACTCGGGAATCGGTAAACCGTGGTGGTCATCGATCCAGAAAGTGTCGTACAGCCAGGAGACCTGCTGCAGACTTGGCACGGGCACGCCGCTGTGCTGCTGCAAGTACCGGTACAGTGGGCCGTACTCTGCGTCCAGCGCGCGCACGTCCGCCGACGAGGCCAGGGCGGCGCGCGCCTCCCTGTAACGCTGGCAGGAGTCCAGGAAGCGCAGCTTGAAGTCGATCTCGGCCGGCCGCGTGTGCACGGGGATCGGCTGCCAGGGCAGGTCAGGGTTCCAGCGGTCGCGCCCCTGCGGCGGGTACAGGCCGGCCAGGTTCGCCTCGGCCGACATCAGCGTGCGATCCACGTCTGATGACTCGACCCGCGTGTAGTTCATGTGGTACAGCGGGTGCAAGAAGTCGGCGTACCGCTGCCGCAGGAAACGGCCCAGCTCATACTGGTTGTTTTTGCCCTCGTTGGTCAGCTGGCCGGGCCCCTGCCACCAGTGCCCGGCGTTCGGATCGTTCGGGTACATGTCGATTGGTGTGCGCGCGCCGTGGCGGAATAACACCTGGAGCAGCTGCAGGGTGTGGTTTGCTGCTTCAGATGTGCAGATCAAAGTCACCAGACCAATGTAAATACCAAGCCAATTCATGGCCTGATCCTTAAACAACTTGTTCTCGGGAATATTTTGCAATGTTGTACCAATTGTTAGTCAAAGTGTCCAAAACGTTTGCCTTCACTATGTCTGGACATGTGTCAAGTCCCCAGATCTGAAATCAAAAGAGGAATTGTGTTATGCTTGGGTAGATCAAGTTATAGCAAAATGCATCTGCATTCTCAATTTCATTGAAGATCAATCAATGAGCTCCTCTTCAATCAAGAGCATTCATTGAAGATGCAGAGATTCATTCATTTCATTTCATAGTCATTCCACTGGCCATGCAGTGATCAAGGCCACACAAAATGAATTTGTCAAACCATTGATATCTAGTGTTTGTGAACACCACTTTCAGATATAATGGCAGTGAATTGGCTCTCAGTCAATATTATGCATAATGCAGTGACACAACCAAGTTATGACATGTTGATGACCATATTTACTAACTGGAAAAATTGTGTTGTCCAGAGCATCCCTCCTGCTTAAGAGAATACCACTGAATGTAAGGGTGCTCATCATATCATATGATCCTTGCTTAAATATCTGCAAGTGTGGAACAACCCTTTTCAAGCACCTAATAGCAGCCTTCAACATTTATTCAGTGACCTATGATGCAGCATGAGCCTGCTTGATTCCCACTAAAGCATCTTACAGCAGCCAGCTGCTGCAGCAGCAACTCTAACCAGCAGCAAATTGGACATATAGTCTTTGAAAACCATGTGTGGAACTTTCCAAGATCAATGGCACACACAGTTTTAAAGTCAGCTTTTATGTAATAACCAATGAACTTAAGGTAGTCAGAAACAGGGGCACAACCAGAATATGACAGTGAGGCTTCAATACTTCATGACAATTAGTTCTTGCAAGCGATGTCCAGCCCCACTGGCAGTACCAAAGCACTGCAAATTGCACAACAGGCCTGACAAAAAGAATGTTTTAGCTTTGAAGATGTTGAAGTAAGCATCAGGCATGATCAAACAAGCTCACTCATAACTGTATGTATACATTCTAAGTGGAAAAGACTGCTCCAGGGAGCATAATTTTTTGTTCAGTCAATATGCTCCTCAGTGTGTCATGGTTCAAAAACACCATCATGGCTTGCACAACCTTCACTGAGAGCTAACTGAACACTGTTATATCTGGAAATATCTGGAAATTACTTATGAATGCCAGAACCAGAAACATCACAATATTTTTGGGGCATTGATAACAGCATGGTGTTAGAATGACAGGATTGTGATGTTACTATGTCATGAATGACACAATGACTTTGAAATACTCTCCTTGATCTACTGTTCTCCATTTTGTCCTCAGAAAGGCAGGATTGTAAACAGTGCCAAAAGTTCTTCAAAATGACTAGTTCAGTTCAAGACCCCATATAAATGTGAAACACATCCTTTAACAGAACCTACATGTGTGAATAGGCACAGAAACTAGCTTGTCAGTGAGCTACTGATATTCCCTGTGATGGAGCCTTAAATGTTTATTCCAGCTGTGCAACATACATGCTCTTCCAGCTGTCCAACGGTCAAAATAAACAACTGCAGCTGTTGGACTGTACATGTCCCTGTCTTGGGTAGTGCTTCCAAGATTGAAAGCCCTTATAGTTTTCCTGTTCCCCAGATTCTGACACCATGTTCATTAACGTTGTGCTGAAGCACTGAGCTTCAGCCTGAGGCGAGACTTACGCACACAGCACATCTACTGCCTTGGCGCGCCATGGGCCCTCCGTAACGCTGACGTAGGCCCCCCACACTCAGTAAAACGGTCCGCGTCAGCTAAATATAGCAAGAAAGTCACACGATATTACTATCAATACATGCACCAGATGTTTATAATTTCTCTAACAGCCTCATATAACTCCATGTCCTACACACCGCCAGCAAATCGCGTCTCCCCCGCACGCTCCACTCAAACCCCACGTAACCGAGCACAGGAACCCGTCGTGCGGCTGTCAGCTGATTGCAGTGAAGGTCGCTAACACTTCAGCTGATTGTACGGTGACGTCAAAAAGCCACAAAATCACCGTCAACCTGGTGATTGTTCGCGCCTCTAAGGCCGGCAAGTCAATGATAGGACTTGGGCTCTCTCCGTCACATGGCGGTCACTACCAGTCGGACAGCAAATGGTGGCTGAAAGTTATTTGCTGCAGGATGAAGTTCATGACTCACTTTGCATTATCTCTGAGAGGAATAAGAAATGAGGCTGGATGGCAACGAGCGTGACCCAATAGGACCAAGCCAGTATATAGACAGGGCGGTCGAAACCCAACAGAAAATTCGAAACCAGGCGAGACAGGGCAAACAAGACGAGATCGCGAGGACCATATGGATTCAGATAGAACCAGATAGGACCAGGTATAACCAGACGAGATCAGACGGGAGTCGAGGGCACCACACGTGAATGAAAGAAACCGGAAGAAACCGGACACATTGACTTGGAAGCTCAGCCAACGTAAATCACGGGCCTTGGCCTTGTGCCTGTTTAAGAAATTGGTCGTAAGGCCAGACCGACAAGGGGCCGACTGTTCGCTACTGATGCTGCCTGACCGGCATAGGGGAGCTCATCGACTCAGGGGGGTCCCCAGCAGGTAGCGATGGAGGCAGGCCTAAACACCACATAGGCAAGGGGTTCCTCACTGGTAGCGATGGAGGCAGGCCTAAACGCCACATAGGCAAGGGCTCCTCGCTGGTAGCGATGGAGGCAGGCCTAAACGTCACATAGGCAAGGGCTCCTCACTGGTAGCGATGGAGTGTTGCGAGCCAATGAGGAATTTCGGCGGGCCGACGGGTGGCGTCGGTATGGTTCAGTGACGTTAGAATGGGGGCTGCGTGGTGATGTCGCGGTGTGCCTTGCACCAGAGAGCTACTATCTACTAGGGATAAATTCCAAGGTATACGTGGTGTATGGCTGTGTGGTTCCGCTCATAACTGAAAGGGTCTGGTCGCTGCACATGACCTGCAGACTGTGCGTAGCGACCACATTATAGACCTCCCTTCAATATGACCGGTGACAAGCATGCACGAGACGGTGTGAATGTATGCATGCTGGTTACGCAATCCCAGTAAAGTGACGTTCGCGGCCCATGTTCGGACGAAAGCATCTGTTTCGTAAAATCTCATGTGCTGTCGGTGGTGTTTTCCAATGTTTTCGCCAACAGTTGCAGTCACTCCCAATTAGTCGGTTTATGACAGGAAATTGCCCCGATGGTAATTACCTGCGAATCGATACAGCGGGCCAATTAGCCAACAGGCCCCTTTCATAATGACATAGATAATTAAGCCAAGCAGAGACAATTATTGCCGAGAGACGTATTACTCCCAAGGAACATTTTTGTGAGCGATGTTAGTGGCGGGCGGTGCCAGGTACAATGAGTGGCTGAGCGTGTCGCAAAGTCGCAATGACAGGATCAATACGGGGGGAGGGGGGGGGGCAAAATGAGGGTCAAATGCCACCATCATTCACACATGCACAGCTAACTTACCAACTAAATTTTTTTTCATGAACGGCGTTATTCCGGCGAAGTCGCTCTTTACTTCACTGATAAGTACTCGTAGACATATTCAAAGCATTATGCATGACGTAGTATCATGTGCGAGTACGTAGCTTTAAAAACCATGCAGGAATTCATCTAAATGATCAAGTCAGTCAAGGCGCTTGGTATTTTTATGCAAGCTGGGCTTTGGGAATCTCATGACTGCCGTTTTGTGTCGGTGAGGAATCCGCCGCGTGATCATGTTGATATTGCCAAGAAATGAGGAGTCAGTACGCCTAGTTACCCGGACGACCAGCAGGAGGAATATCCCTGAGAGTCAGAGTTAAAACAAGAAAGTTGGAAAGGCGCAAACAAACGAAGCAAGCAAAATTACGTGAAATGGGGTGAGAATCGGCACGTAGCACGTGTTTGTTGTGACACGCGTACGCACGCCACAAATGCGGTTGATCAAATATCAGGAGGAAGTGTGTTGCAGTGAATCATATGTGACCAGTAAGTAAAAGCTCAACATGTTGCTGGCGTGACATCACGTGACGAGTTTTTCACGCGTCACTTGGGTTGTCTGAAGTGGTGCAAGGGCGGCGAACATCCGAACGATGGCAGGGGCGGATCCAGATGAGAGCCAATGGAGTAATAGCCCCCTTGGGCCCCGGATTGGCCCATCGGCTAAGAGGGACCCATAGCGGGCCGAACAGGCGCAGTCTTTTCACACAGAACGTAACAATATTGGACGCATTTGGGCTTCCAGGCGACCACTAACAGCTGCGAGCGGAAGTAAGCAGGCCACGAGTAGATTTTTTTCGCTAGTTGGAAGGGTGGTGATTGGGAGGTCTTAAGACTGCTTAGTATTGGTTTGTACCTGCTAAGACTGGCTAGAATAACGTAGCTAATCGTCAGTTTTTTAAGTCGTAGCGTTAGAACGCCCCGCTCATCAATTATTGTAATTCCTGCATACCTGAGCTGTAGATACAGAGGTAAACGGAGGACGCTGGACGGACACATGTCAAGAATTCATCCGGGGCCTCCTGCTGCTGAGAGGAACAGCGGCTTTGGGGTAAGAGGCCAGGCATCGCTGGTGTGAGCCTCTCACATTGCCTGTTGAGGTAAGAGGCCGAGCATCGCTGGCGTGGACCTCTCACATTGCCTGTTGGGGTAAGAGGCTGAGCATCGCTGGCGTGAACCTCTCACGTTGCCTGTTGCGCCTCAGAGTTAGCGTACTAATCGGTGGGCACGTGTGAGATAAAACCATTTTGAATATGATTATATTGCATAAATGAAGGTGTTGCGGGTGTTCAACAATGTTGTCTGCACCTGCTGACACCAACATTGCACGGGTTTTGCCGTAAAGAGTTTGGATCATGCAAGGAAGTACGAGTTCTGCACTCGTAACAGTTATGCAAAGATGGTGGAGGTCACCAACGCCTCCAGGTGATTGAACCATGACGTCACAAAACCAAAAGTGATGTCTCCAGGTTCCTGTAAATCTATTTTATCCGTAAACGTAGGGTTGCAAGGATGCAGTTATTTCAAAATACGTCAGGGTGAGAGAGGGAGGGGAGGAGGGTGCAGAAGAAAGACGACTGAGCCAACCTCCGCAATACACCTGAATCCGTTTTCCCCCAGATTTGGCGCCCTTTCTTTTCACAATTGGGAACAGTGGTGTAGTATCTGAAACTTAGTTGTTGGGGGCTAAGCCCCAAATTTATGAATAAGGAAACATAATGGATACAAATGCTAGCCAAAAATCAGAACCTTCATCACTGGTTAGAAAGGCACAATCCCTCTCCCCTCTGCGGAAAAGGAAACTAAACGCCTCTAGGCTGGTTATATTAACTATGTTTTTATCTGACGATTTTCTTAGTCTGGTCTCAACCATCATTCAGTGTTTGATGGCCAGTAAATGATACTTTAGTGCAAATGAACTCCAGAAACGGAAATGTTTGGTGGCTATGCCGCATTTCATCTAATTTGTCTTTGTTGTGGTTTATCGCAGTTAGAGTTGTGTTGCAATGATTTCCGAAAGAATTGACGCCAGGTGACAATTAATATGGTTCCCAATTTTGCCGGTGACAGAAAAGACATTTTTTATCCTTGGTCAGCCTGATCGCTAAGGAGCCTTCCACGTTGCACTTTATTTCTTTGCATTTGCTCGGGAGCCTTGCACTGTTGCTGGGCCCTTCCTGCTAGCGTGCCGGGACACTCTTCGTCAATCAGGGAACTTCCATGCATGATTTCCATTCACCCGAAACGTACTATACGTTAGAGCCGGGGACCTCATATGTTGACATGTCAGGATATTCTGGCTGCTTAGGGGCTTTTCACGCTGGTCACGCATTGGTCTAGGGCCCTTCCAATTCTCTGCCACTTGCTTAGGGCCCTACTCTCTTGTCTGGGGCTCACCTGTTAACCTACTTGGGCTTACTCGGTCGTTCGGGGCCGTCCAAATTGGGTCTTGAGTATTTTCTATTTAAATGGAGGGCCCTATGTAGTTGTCAGGGCTCCTATCTGTTAGCCTGCTCGGTTGCAATGGATTGTTCGAAGGCCCCGCAAATTTGGTTCTGGTATTTGAATGTAGGGCCCTATGCCCCTGTCGGAGCCCTCTGATGGGCTGCTTGGGTACATCCGATCTTTCGGGGCCCCCCACACTGGGTTTTGAGTACTTCTTATTTGAATGGAAGGCCCTGCGCTCTTGTCGGGGCCCCATTTCATAACCTGCTCGGGCAAACTCAATCGTTCGGGGGCCCTCTTCATTGGATCTTGGGAAATTTCTTTTCGAATGGGGGCCCCACACTCTTGTCGGGAGCGCTGACTGTTAACCTGCTCGCGCACACTCGGTTGTTCGGAAGCCCTGTACATTGGGTCTTGTGTGCTTCCTATTTGAATGGAGGGCCCTACTCTCTTGCCTGGGGTCCTATCTGTTAATCTGCTTCAGCCCACTCGATCGTTTAGGGGCCCTCTATATTATGTCGTAGATATTTCTTATCTGAATGGAGTGCGCTATGCTCTTGTCGGGGACCCCCATCTGTTACCTTGCTAGAACGCACTCGAGTGTTCGGGACCCTCCACACAGTGCCTTGGATACTTTCTATTTTAAATGAGAGTCCTATGCACTTGTCAGGGGCCATCTGTTCATCTCCTCGGGTACACTAGATTGTTCGAGGGCCCTGCACATTGGGTTTTGCTATTTGAATGAAGAGCCTTACGCCCCTGTCAGGAGCCATCTGGTATCCCGCACGGGTACACTCTATCTTCCGGGGGCCTCCACACTGGGTCTTGGGTACTCCTTATTTGCATGGAGGGCCCTGCACTCTTGTCGGGGCCCCTTTTGGTAGCCTGCTCTGGCACACTTCATCGTTCGGGGGTCATCTACAATGGGTATTGAGTACTTCTTTTATTAGTGGAGGGTCTCACGCTCTTGTCAGGAGCCTCCCATCTATTAACCTGTTC